ATTTGTTCCAATACTCTTTAAGTTGAAAAAAAAAAAAAAGAACCCGCTGTGTTTGCTGCATACACTTTATCCTCAACCCAAAACCAAGAATTGAAAGTCTTTTTCCAGAAATTAAACCCTGCGGAAGATGACGTGGATGTCATTAGTTAGAGTTCACAGCATCATCGGTCTTTTGAAAGAAGCATTTGGGTTAGTTCCCAAAGACACAGGCTAAAAAATTGGTAAACGACCACATGTGTGGGACTGAGGTCTCCAAACACCTTGAGGGACACAAGGAAACCCTGATCACGTAGTTCCTCGCAGTACTTGAGAATCACTGATTTAAAAGTGGAGAGTGAGTCTTCCATTTACGACCTGGTCTATGATTCTCATCCTGATAGTCTAAATAAAGAAAATAGAAATTTGAAAATATCTCTGCAACCAAACCATGTTTTTAAATACTATCTCACACAGTATTAATGTCATTCATAACTTCCTTTGTAGGATTAGGATGAGTTTACAAAGTATCTCTGATTTACTGTCCTCTCAATTCCTAACTATCTAGTAGATGTTGGTATTATTCTTTCTCCTACTATTACTTTCATGATTCTCTTAATGAATATTAATTGGCTCCTGAGATGATAGGGACTGGACTAGATGCCTAGGACACACATTTGGTTAAAAGGATTTCTCTCTCCTTAGGTATTTTCTAGACTCCTGGGATGTACTCTAAGCAGAAAATAGGTCAGGTCATGTCTTAGACCATTCAAACTCCATTAACAACATAGCATAGACTGAGTAGCTTGAAAGGAGCAGACATTTCCTGCTCACATCCTAGAGGCTGAAATTCAAATCAGGGTGTCAACAAGGTTGGGTTCTGGTGAGTGCCAGCTTCCTGTTTGCATACTACTGACTTCTCCTGTATCTTCAAATGGAAGGAAGGTGATGCATCTACCTCAGGCCTTCTTGATGAGGCCACTAATTCTATTCAGGTGGCTCCACTCTCATACCCTCATTCATTCACAAGGACCGCATCACATGACACCATCACTTGGGCTTGAGACTTCAACATATAAATTAGGTGGGCATGTACACATTCAGACCGCAGCAGGTCACAAAAATTCACATGTCTGGCATCTCAAAGAGAGAATATAGCCGTGCGTAGACAATAAAGAAGAATTAGCAATTTGTAGGCAAAAGTTTCAGACTGTGGACTCAGAATCCAAACTCTTGCTTTTTGAGCAAAAGTAATATACGAATTATACATGCTAAATTTTTGAAAATCAAGAAATGGAGTCCAGTAGTCCACAGAGATGGATGGAAATAACAGAATACATATGATCCTTTATCAGTCTTTGTGAGGGGTCTCCTAAGAAGCTTAGGTTTCTGCTACCCTTATAAAGAAGGACCAGAATGTAATGTGGTCAGTTGCCTGGTTGTTGTGAGCTTTGTGAATCGAGACTTTAAGTTTAGATAGGTGACTCTTATGTGACACCAGCTGATTACTTTTCTATTATGACAAAGTAGAGGTAAATTAAAGATGATGTCATAAGTGTCAGTTGAATATAGTGCTAGGCAAAGGCTGAACATTATGCTGCTATTTCTGCAACTTAAATGCCCAGAGCCTATATGTACCTGAAAAGAAGTAGAATTTGAGTGGTTTTAGCAATAAGGAAACTAGGCATTATTGACACCTATATGAGTAAAGTGCAAATATTAGCCATGGTCTGTTAAAATCCAAGCAAGTGTGGCCATGATGAAGCAAAATAGCTTGGTCTTTCCTGAATCCGTTCTAGTAGAAAGTGAAAATCTGAGGACCTGCTTCAGTGAAAATTACTTTATGAGTGATCACCCTGGGCCTGGTGCCAAGCATGACCCAGAGAATCTGACAAAGTCCAGTGACTAAAGAGTTGACTTAGCAAGGATGATCTTGTAATCTGGAATCTGGAGGGCTGAGGCAACATAACTTCTCATACAAAATAAAAAGACTTTGGGATCAAAGCTAAAACTCAAGTCTTTGCATATTTAATAATTAATATTTATGCAGTTCGATTGTTTCCAAAGATGGTTTCCTTTTGTTTGAGCAGAATAAACTTGATTGGAAACTCGGAAGTCTTTTAGAAAATTTGAAATTCAATACAAAAATACAAAGAAAGATTCAACTGGATGATATTGTGTGAATCTTGAGTTCTCTTTGGGGATAATATTGCTCCCAAAGGTGCGAATAGTAGTTCTCATGAGTGTGAACAAATCTTAGGTATTTCAATGGTTTGTGGTGCTCCAAAGCTCAGCCTTATCCAACAGAATCTTCTTCCTTAGTATTTATTTTTCTCTTTGGTTTTCTTGTGTATCGTATGAGAAGCATTGCCATTCAGCTCAGGGAAGATACACAAACATATGCCAGATTATTGCTTCAAACCTGTGGTGACTTGATGGCTCCTTGGGAAACTTTCCTTCCATCCATTGTCTGCTTGATCTCAAAGCCCTCTTGTGAGAGTTGGCCTTTGATTACTCAAGAGTTGCATCGTGGACATTGTTTATGTTTTTGCCTCACTGCGATGTGTGTTTTGAGAATACAGTGCAGATAGTTGATATTTAATAGTTAGCTCTCCTGAAGTTAGTCAACACATCATTAACTATGTCAAGTCTAAGCAGAAAAAAATGTTGACAATATCCAGATGAATATCTAGCGGCTAGTGAAGTTAAAAATTACTCTCTGATAAGAAGCAAGATTAAAAATTAAGTACCTACCTAAAATGAATGTTAAGAAAATAATTTAATTTTTCAATAATATTGACCAATTTTGAATGATTTTTAAAAATATCTATACATTGGCATTATTTCATAGGGTTATATACATTTTTATTTGAACATGCAACTGGATACATCTCTATGTAGTAAATATGTTACATTAAAAGTCACTCTGCAAACTCAGTTTTAAGGTCAAACTCAATTTTATTTAAAATTGAATTTGATATTTATTAACATTTTAATTATACTAAATGTCAGTGGCTTTTAGATTTAACTTGTAATTTTTTTATTTATTCACTTCAATTCTTCACTGAATAGAAGAGTAAACTTGACACAATCTTTTTTATATATAAAGCACAGATATAAATACAGTACATAAATATATATGCCATACTTCTGTGTTAACTTTTCTTGGAGGGTTCAGTTAGGAAAGCACCCGAAAACTCTGTGGTTAAGAACCAATAATGAAAAATAAAATGGTTGAGAAACAGTGTTCTAAACCCATTTAGAAAGTGCATAAAGAAAAGTGAAAGCAGAAGTAGAAAGTGAGGGAAACATTCAGAAATTGAAAACTCGCATGTTCCCTATATATGACACATGCAGAAAGGAAGGTCTTCACAGTCTAGAGGCCAAGTTTGGCAGAGTCACCAGCGCAGCCAGGCAGGCATCACCTGCAAGATCCCTAATGGCCCTGCCCTGTTCTTTCCTGGTGGCTGTGGTGGTGCTCAGCTGCCACTCCATCTGCTCTCTGGGCTGTGACCTGCCTCAGACCCACAGCCTGGTCAACAGGAGGGCATTGATGCTCCTGGGACAAATGAGGAGAATCTCTCCTTTCTCCTGCCTCAAGGACAGAGAAGACTTTGGATTCCCCCAGGGGGCGTTTGGTGGCAACCAGTTCCAGGAGGCTCAAGCCATCGCTGTCGTCCATGAGGTGACCCGGCAGACCTTCCACCTCTTCTGCACAGAGGTCTCGTCCGCAGCTTGGGATGAGACCCTGCTTGGCAGATTCTGCACTGGACTCTATCAGCAGCTGAACCACCTGGAAGCCTGTCAAACGCAGGAGGTGGGGACGGAGGAGACTCCCCTGCTGGATGAGGACTCCACACTGGCTGTGAGGAAATACTTCCAGAGAATCACCCTCTATCTGCAGGAGAAGAAACACAGCCCTTGTGCCTGGGAGATTGTCAGAGCAGAGGTCATGAGATCCTACTCCTTATCAACGCACTTTCAGGAAAGATCAAGGAGTAAGGATTGACACCGGTTCAACATGCAGATTGTGCTCACTGACTAAATGTCACACTTCCTCATGTTTTGCCATGTCAGAGACGCTTTTGTTTTGTTTCTGCTGTAATCATGACATGAACTAAATCAATCTGTTAAAAGTTTTCAGGAATATTAAGCAACATTACGCTCAACACTACAGATGGTCATGCCAATGTATCCAGTTTTCTATTTAAATATTTATTTATTTATTTATTTATTTATTAGATTTGTTCATATAGTATGAGCATCTTTACGCTCGGGTGACATCATGAATATGTTCTTTTCATTAAGTCAATTTGTTATTTTTGTGTTTATTAAATATTTACCATCGTGAAATACTTGTTTTTGTTTATTATAAAAAGAAACGCAAAGTCTGATGTTGCAACTGAATTTAAAGAACGGATGTCACAATTTGTTTACTCACTGTATTATATGCAAGTGATAAGTAACTATTGACATTCTCTACGCCAGGTTGTGTGTTGTCCTCAGAATACGAAGGAGAATATAACGAATGTATTTCATGCTATCTTGTATGTTTGAGTTTTGGCGAAAATGCCTAAGAACAATAACTAAAATATTATCGGTTATATTCAGTGCTATGATGAGAAGAAAGAAAAACAAATGCATTCTCTCACCAGCAGCGAGGGTGAGGAATATGCCAGAAATGAAGATGAAAGTAGATATCCTCTAGAGTTGACTGGGAGACATGTAAGTGCAAATGTTCATTATCAGTTGGACATGTATGTTTCAATTTACAAGGAATGCCATGGCTGGAGGTCCGTATGTGGTAAGAGAAAGCCAGAAACGCAGGTAGTATGTGTGTGTGTTGGGGGGGACAGTGTAGAATGAGATGAAGACTTAAAGTTGATTCTCAGGCCCAACAACCTTTAAGAGAAGAGCTACAAAGAAAACAGAGGTAGGTCTCCCATACATTAGAAAGGCAAGATGGAAAGCTGGTAAGAGTACATTTAAGAAAATAAATGTGCTTAGAAGAACATCAGTGGACTCACGGAAGATGAAGATTGAAACTCTCAACAACATCAGGAAAATAGAAGGCATTTGTGACCTAAATGGTTTGGTGGAGAAACTATATTAAACTGTATTAAAGTGAAATTGTAAATAAGATAAGAGAAGATAGTGGCACTGAAGTGGAGAAGGACATAGTGTGGGATCTGGAAAAGAATGTGGGTGTGGTTTTTGTGACCCGTTTTCCTTTTTAGGCAGTATATTAGTTTCTGGGTGATTTTGTGTAATCAATGTACTAGCAAATCATACTGATGTGTTTAAAATTGTATTTATTTTAAATCATGACTTATTTAATTCCCTACAATGATAATTTATCATGCCTTACTAATACTACTTTGTATATAAGTAAGCCACTCAATTTCTGTCAATTTGTCAGGCAGGAATAGATAAGCGTTTCAATCCTTCATCAAAATATCTAATTACTACGGACAGCGCAATGATTCCTGCAATTACTTGCTTTATTAATGAAGTTACTTAACTAACATCATTGTGACACTGATTTACTATAGCAGCTTTATAACATATCTTCTTTTCTGTATAGCTAATTTGATAAGTAGTTTTTAATATGACTTTAGCAATTTTTCTCAATTTTATGAATTGCCAATTGCATGTGAATGCTAAGATAAGCAAATTATCAATTATTATGCTAAGATAAGCAAATTATTATAAATACTGACAGACTTCCTTCAAAATTGAAATGGGAAGCTGGATCATGTAATGTCTTCATCAACACTTAAGGTTAAGAAATTGTTCAAAATCAGCTGAAAATATAAAATGAACAATGGAAATCCATAGCACAAGAGAGAGTTGTACATAATTCAGGAGTATAAGCAGATTTCACATATATAGCAGAAATACAGAATAGAAAACTCACAAAATTACCCTAACTCACAAGATAGTATTTTTCATTGAAATTTCATTCTGCTTGAACATGTGTTATGTTGAACAACCCACTTCATCTTTCTAAACCTCAGTTTCCCCATCATAAAAAGGGTTCAAATATTTATATAGTTTTCCTCACTATTAAATGACCACATGCATTTTAAGGCATTTAGCACCACATTTTCCATAGAGAAAGAACTTTAAATATGATAGGTATTTTCCTATATTTCTTCCAACATGTAAATATGAGAATGTGATTTGTCTCTTTTTATAGCATTCTTAGACCCTATGTCCTATTTTTCATTAACTGACCTCCAAAGGAGGAAGCCTAAAAAATCAGAATTCTGTCAGGAATTCAAGGAAAGACTCAAAAACTGTCATTCCTCATTCAAAGAAGTGTATTATTTTTTTCAGTGAAGAAATGGTGGCTTATATTAACATCCGAGACAGGGAAAGGGCAGAAGAATGATATTTAAAGATATTCTAGCCCCTGGCACACTCCTTCTTTCCTTCCCTCCCAGCAAGCCAGGATATATTTCCATATCACAGTAGTTTCCTTCCTCTCCAAGGCAGAAAGCCCCACAGGGTCATGCACTCTCTCTCTTTACCTCTCTGCCCATTCACGTGACTAACTGCTTTCTGTTCTGTTGTGGTTTCAGCTTAAGATTTTTGAAAAAGAAGAACATCATGAGTAGAAAGCTAAAGTTAAATAAAATTTCTAGGTTTTGCAGAAACATCTGCAGGAGAGGCTTTCCTTAATGTCCCTGGAGCACGATGTAATAGTAGCTGTAGCTAAAAGGAAACTGAAAGTAGGATCCAGCTTGTGGGTGGGCCAAGGCAACTTCTCTCAGGGAACACAGCCCCCTGGTGGGACAAAGGCATGACCAAGACTAGAGTGCTGGCTGCTGCTCTAGGCAGAAATCTTGCCACTGTCTGGGGATGTCCCTTCATGCTACAAACGAGGATACTTCTTGGCAACAGTAGATTCAATTGCAGTCATTAAAATGTTTCCTAACCCCTTGTCTATTACAAAGACAAAGAGTCTCCAAGTGTCCACCTTCAGGCAGGGCATGGACTCTTTGAGTTCGGGCAGTTAAAAGGCAGAGAAAATGTGTTCCCTCTCTACATCCTACTCTGCAGACCCCCCTCCCTATGAATCATCTCTTCCACATGCTATGAAACTCAGGGGGCAGGTAGAGCTGACGATCTGGGAATAGAACTCAATGGTAAGCAGGAAAATCTCATCAAACATTAATTAAACAACTCTCAATAGTACCATTTTAGTTTCCCAGATTCATTCCTAATATCTGACTCTAACTATTATTAACTAGTAGTGTATTCTCATCGTCTCGTGGAATAATGATCTTGACATCTCTTTCACTCCATACTAAAACCTCTGCATAGGAAGCAAGAGAGAGAAGTCTGATACAAGCTAAGGAACGTGAATGAATAGTGTCATTGTTACCTGAGAGCTAGCGACATTTTATTTATTCAACTTTATCCATTTGGTACAACTTGAGAGAAATTTCTATAATCAGCACAATCTTTTCATTGAGATAGTTCACCAGCAGGTGTGTGAATTGCTGAGGGCTCAGGGAGGCCTCCAAATGTGGAGAGGTATCACATCCTTTCCTTACATACCACAGTCAACATTTGGATTTGTTGCTCTCCAGCTTGGGCTTAGTAGGACCCTGCTTACATTTCACCTCATATTTTACATCAATATCTTCTTAGTTTGCTAATCATCCAGGAACTATTAATTGAAAACTTCTTTCCACCATATTTATATCAGATATATCCATTACCTTAGATTAGTTAAGACAGATAATACAATTTCAGATTGTACAACACGTACTTTAATAATTTGTTTACTCTATTTCTCCCTTTATCACACTGTTTTGAGTATTGCTACTATAATCTCACATCATTTTCTAGATGAGATAGATATGCCAAGAATTCCTCTGTTCTCCAACATTATACGCATTCTTTCTGATTAAGTGTACTTCATCTACAATGTGGAGAGCATTCCTTTCACGAAAACCGCAGGCTCTTGGGGATGCACACATAACTGAATGGCAATGAATAGACTAGTCTGGTTTAATTCCTTCTTCAGGTTGAAGGATGAAAGTGGATCAAGGAAATTCTTGTCAGCAACATCTAAAGTAAACAAAAGCTGAAAATCAGCAAAACAAAGCAAAATAATAGCATACACCAATAAAAAGAAGACAAAGGAATTTAATTGGAGGATCAAAGCTTATTTTAAAATTCAATGGAATTCTAAAAAATAAAACTTTTTGATTACCTATAATACACAATATAGGATTATGGTTCGAATCTTGATCTTTCCAGCAAATGTGTAATCCCGAGAAATTCACTTAACTCTTTCACTGAGTCCCAGCATTCTAAAGTTTAATATTTCTAGAGTTACTGCGAGTGTTAAACAAACTAAAACATCTTAAAAGACTTAAAAGAGTTCCACAGAGGTCGAGCTTAA